GCTCTCTGAGGCGCAGCTGCTCTGCCCCGGGTTCTGCCCCATGGCTTCTCCCTGGACAGTCCATCCTGCCCAGGAGCTTGCTTTCTGCGCACCCACTGCGGTCTCTGCCCCCCCTGCTCCCACTTGCAGGCAGAAGCAAGGGCAGCGGGAGGCAGGAGAAGCTCTGGTGCTGTTTAAGGGCATTTACAAAAAACTGAAGGACCCAAAGAGCATGGGGGCAGTGGTTAGGGGACCTGGAGGGCAGCAGGAGGGGCATCACCAGGCTACAGCTGCCTGCAGCTGGGCCTTCCCCCAGGGAGGTCCTGGTGGGGACAAGAAGTCCCTTGCCAGCTCACGAAAGGCCAAGCGTGCCTTTGGAGAGCAGGACAGAGAAGGTGGGATGGTACGAGGGATGTGAAAACTCCTTCCTTTCATCAAGGATGAGAAAACTGTTAAGAAAAAGAAATTACAGTACCCCTTGTATGCACTAATAGCTGCAGGCAAAAGGAGATGGCGAGAGGAAGAAAGCAAAGGCGCTGGGGCTGCTGGAGGGCTGATGTGCTCCCAGCAGGTTATCCCTGGATCGCTCTTCTCACTGGCGAGGTGTGCGGTGGCTGCGGATGCACATGCCCAAACCAACCAGCCAAGGGGAAGGGAAACGGTGCTGGGAGAAGGCTGGAGGGAAATCCAGGTTCGAGTGCCTGTCTGCGTACAGACTAAGGCAGTGTCAGCTGAACTGATTTCTTCCCAGCATTTGAATACATTTATCATGTACAGAATTAGCAAGGGCAGGGTCCATGCCACGGCATGTTTAGGACAGGGGCATCCCAGGGAAACCTTGGATGTTTTTTTCATGGTTGTCGTCTTCTCCCTAGATACAGCCAGTCCTGCACATAGGAAATTCAGTACTCTGTGTTCCTGCAATACCCTGTTAGTGCTCCTCTGTGCCACTGAGTAGGGCCTTTCATGTGTATTTTCTGTGGCTCTTGTGATATTGTGTTTGAAATGCCATGGGAATCAGCTGGAAGGCAGCTGATGATCCCAAGGCCTCTTTGTAGTTGATTTGTGCCAAAAGGGGCTGCATAACCCTGCAAGAGCCAGGAAAACATCTCTGAGAGGTGGGTTTGACCCTGCCCTCCCCATGGGGGTGCCGCTCCAAGGCAGGTTCCCCGATTACCGGCTGCACTGTTCCAACATGGTGCTGGTGTCACCGCAAAGAGAAGGTTTCCCAAGGTGATGCTGGCAGCTGACAGTGACACTGCCTGAGCCAGAGGTGACTGGCACCTCACTCACTGTGAGCATGACTTCACTTATTTCATGTTATCTGGATCCACAGGGGACAAAGCCAACTTGCATGAGACCAGGTGCTGGTGGAGCCATGGCCAGCCCATGTCCTTGAGCCATTGGCTGTGGGTTGGCCAGCTTGGTGACGCCGGCCCCTTCCCGCTTTGCATGTCTCAGACAAGGTCAGCACTGCCAGCGAAGCATGACCCCCGTGGCAGCTCTCACAGGTAGGGCGGGACACCCCGCCAA